AATCCATCACATCGAAGTCATGAATTCTGGGCAAATTTAATTGAACATTTTGGAGCTTATGCATTATATAACATTCTTCCATATACTAGTTCTAATATAGCCAGTTCACATAACTCTAATCATCAAATATGTGTAAACAATTTACTTCAAAAGCTTAAACCGCTATCAGATAGTATTAACCAATTTCTCCAAGATTATTATAAAAATCTTTACAAGAAGTTAAACAATTTATCTTGAGAACTTTTCACACCTCGCCTATTTGGGGTTTTTCCCTTAATTGCGATTAATTATAATAGTATAAGTAATTTTTACTAGAATGAACATAATGAACCTAATAGCCTTTGTTGTCTTGTTGCTTTAGGTAATTTCGAGGGTGGTGAGTTGTGTTTTCCACAACTACAAATTGTAGTAAAACTCAAACCAGGTCAGGTTGTAGCATTTTCTTCTTGGCTTTTGCTTCATGGTAATTTCCCAGTTACAAAAGGAATCTGATGTAGCATAGTATATTTCGTACATAGTTTGTTTTTTCACCATTTACATAATTTTACATCAGTTTATAATGATCTTGAGGAAGAAATTGAGAGAAATGCTTGTGGATCAATTGTTTCAATAATTCCTTATCAAGATCTTAATAATGCTTAAGGGTTGAATCAACAAACTCAACTCTTGAACCCAAAGGCAAATCAAATAAAAATACCATCTCCATCTTCAGACTGTAGATGAGATCATATTAGTTTGGTGCATGCTAGACATGGATTGAGGGCAGAAGATTCACTTCCCAATTTACAACTATAATAGAAATTAATGTATATTTTACTATATTATAGATTTTTATAGCATATAGTTTAAAGCATTTATATAATAATTTTTCTAGAAAATACTGTAAATAAACTGATTTTATCCTGGACTCATTATTTAGATAATTTTGAGAACAAAGTTATTGAAATTTGTCATAAGATACTGTAGGAGTTACTGATGAAACTGTAAGAACTCAGATATACAAGGAAATGTTGGAATGTCTATTTAGCATTACATCTGTCGTATTGTGAATAGAGTTTGGAACTGGATTTGACCTTCAGATTTAAATTTGATTTCCTTTGGATTCAATTTAATTTTGGATATAAAACCGATCTATCGAATCTGCAATACTCACATTGTCTGTACAAATGCATAGGAAACAAAAGTATTCAACCACCAATAGAATTTCTACAACCAAAATATTTAGTTTTTAAGTGATTGAATATTTTACACTAAAGTGTATATACAACAATAATGCTACGATCAACTAAATATTATCGAATAATTCGGATTTAAATTCAATACATATTTTTATTAATTAAATTTAATCCAAATCAAAAAATGAAATCCGGTTTCAAACTCTAATTGTTAATTAAAACTTTAGGGCTAAAAAAATCATAAGTTATTTGAAGAAAATAGTGTTGGATTTATCTAATAAATGAATAAACTCCACCTAGTTCTCGTGATAACAATCGTAATTTATACTGATTTACTTTTGATTGATAACTTAATTAATTCAATTACAGTATACTTACCCAGAGCTGATGTAATTTGAGGGATTACAAGCCTTATTCTTACTATAAACAAAGCTCGATATATTACTCTTATTCATAACTCAATAGCAATAGGTTAGTAAGTTTAAAAAATAAAATTTAAGTTTCGATAGTACATGAGTTGTGGAACCAGACATTATATTGAAGTACTTTGCTATATTTGAAGTAGTTAACTCAAGTAAAATGGCACTTTGCATCTGTGCATCTGATTCATCCCCTAAATCGCTTAATAAATTTTTATTTGAAATTATAGCAGATCAGTATGGTATAGGTGAGCAGATCAGTATAGTATAGGCCGGTTTTTAAAATTATACTATACGGATCTGCAAAATTATACTAACGCTCATACATATATAATACCTGGCAAAATACTTTTTTTATTCCAGTTACGTATGTTTAGCTTTTAATAAGGCAAACCAGTCCCATAGCCCCGAATCATATATGTGTCAACTGTGAAACTACCCTGCATAATAAACGTCTATTCTAAATTTGTAGGTCTGGAAGTGTTGTCGAATGATTATAGTGCCAAATATAGCGATTTTGTGTCGAATTATTTATAGCTGGATATGGTGTAAAGCCACACGCATATATGTATAAAACCCAATTTTTCGATAATCCATAAGCTAAATATTCCACTTTGCCTTCATGTTGATAAGACAATCGTTTGAGTTATTTGCATGGGTTCGTGGAATTCAACAGAACCATGATAGTCCTGTGCTTTAATGAAGGTGATTTGTCTGGTCCATGAAAATACACAATCTAACCATACCTTTAATATATAGTCTTCTCAGATGTAGTTATAGCCTTTCGAGGCAGGTCTATGATCCAACTATTACCTCCCTGCAATTTACTTCTTCTCTAAATAGTCATGCAAAAAATTTCGTCTATAACTTTAGGCGATAGGGCCTCTGACTTTATTTTTTCTATGCTTACAAATTACACCAACCTCAGCTCCAATTCTAACCTGACACTAGTGTTCCAAGCCGATTAAGTTAGCCGCTTAGCCAGCCACTTAGCCACTTAGCTAGCTGATAGTCTAATTAGCCGGCTAATAACGGCTAATGATATTAATTACAAATTTCGAAGTTGTATATAACTATATAGTATAAAAAAAAATCTATTACCAAACTTAATCTTTGTTATCGTTATACATCGAATTAAATTTAAAGTAAACCCGAATCTAAAAAGCTACTTATTTTGAATAAAGTACTATATAGACATAATATGATTCAGTATAATATAAATTTCGGTGGTACGCATTTCGCCGACAATCACTAACAAAGTAATTCTGATCATTGTTGATAGTGTCAGGTTAGAATTAAAGCTGAGGTTGGTGTAATTTATAAAAAATATTTGTCGGTGAAATGAGCTGTTAGTGAAACAATTGCCGGTGAAATGAACTTGTCTGTGAATTAATTGTCGGTGAACTAAGCTGTCTGTGAAGTGATTGTCGGTGAAATAACACGTATCCCATAAATTATAGACTAAGCCGCTAATCCATTAAAAATATAACGACTTAGCCTAGCCGTAAAAATTTAACCGGCTTGGATCACTATATAATTGTATCATTTACAACATTTTCAAAATTCCCAATAAAATTTTTTTCTGCAATATTTTTTATCTAATAAAATAATAAAATATGGACAATTAGATTACTATATGGATATAAAGTTTAAATTATACGCAACTTTTATCATTTATTTTATTCCATGTTCGAATGTTTTAATCGTTTACAAAATTAGTGTGATTAGAAATTAAGATTTATCCGCGAAATAAATAAAATTATAATTATCCTGATTGAAGATACTTCATTATAATTTCGAGTGGAAATGCTAAAGGATAAAAAAGGTAAATGAATATTTTATCATATTAAAACCACCATATGTCATTAAATATGAACTAAATTACGCTCTGTACGAGGTCACTTAATCTTGCGTGAGGGATGCCTTTAATTTTATTAAAAATGCAATAAAGAGCTGTACAGTACGTATCAGTTACAACTCCTCAATATATTTAGTCATTTGTTATATATACAAATATCCATTAAGAAATAATTTGCGTAAAAAAATAATTTATTAAAATTTATAAAATAACTATGATTATACAAAAGGAATCGAAAGATAAACTATTGACCCATCACTTTCATTTATATTCAGTTGTGTTGAATTTAATGACCCATAACAAATTTTATCCGAAATGATATTAACAAATCCAGGCTGACGATCCTTATAATCATTGTGGTCGAATATTTGATTCACCAAGACCAAGTTATTTTTAGAAATTTTAATTTCTTCTCTACTATATAATATATCTTTATTTTTTCCCTTGATCCAATTAAATTTCATTTCCCCAAAAAAGTCGTTAATAAGACGAGAATTTGTTGTATCAACAATACTAAAATTAATAAAGCATTATCAATGAATTAGAAATCGTGGTTAACACGAATTTGAGTGAAATATTGATATATTCAGATGTCAAACAAAATGGTTACAATATTTTGTAGCAACTCTAACAATAAAACTAATGTTGATAATTTCTCAACTTATTATAAAGTGGAAATCATTTAGTAAAAAGATTAAAGTTTCGAAAAAAAAGTCTTATTCAAGAACTTAAATAATAGGTAATGCGATTTCGGCGGCGTCCCTTATGTCGTAGATTATTTTAGAGGGATACTGTAAACGATGTTTAGTAGTATTTTACTTACCAGCTGTATAATGACAATCTTTTCAAAACTTCCTTATCGGTTACTTTTAATGTCATAAACAAACAACTCTTGACGCACATATCCTTGATAACGTGTAAGATAATTGCCAATAGCAAATGTTGAATCTTTTGGGTCATAATTTATTAGATTGTAAGTATCCGGTTCTAGTACGCAAGTACTAAACATGCAATGGTTGTTTATCATATGATTATCTTCTGTTTCAAGAGGTCGATATTTCCCACTTTTGAATATTAGTGGATATTGGATACTAAAATCAAAGCCTGTTGGCGGTCCAATTATAATCCATCCGAGTTTAATTTTAACTTCTTTAACTTTAAAAGACATCATAGTCTTTTCACCTTGTATATGATGAACAACAATCACCGGACGGTTTTTATTTCCTCCCATATAGTCCACGTGTAGAGAAAATACATTGTTTTTCTCGCTCACAATTGATGCAAGAATATTGTACTCGCTAAGATTTTGGGTATGACTAGTTATCAACATTCTATGGATATATGGTTTCTTCGTATTTTCATATTTTTTTATTTCGAAAAGGATTTCATCGACTATGGCTATTGTTAACAATGAGATTTACGATTAGGATTTTGATTAAAGGTATAAATAATCTTATATGACTAATATTAAGTATTTACCTTCTAAAATTTGATGGCCCATCATGCTCAACACTCTTTCTTTCAATTCTTCATCTAATAATTCAAATAATGAATAAACTTCTTCGTACCCAATTATTTTCCATTTGGTTGCATCATTAAGAGATTGGACTCAAGAATTTTTATCATCTTGAGAATCGGTCCCGCCAATAATTGTTTCGAAATTATTTGTACTTTTATTATAATTTACTTCCGACTTAAAAACGTTTGTAATTCCGGCTCCGACTTGTACATTAGCAGTTTTGGCCTTGGAATTTTCGACTATAATCGATTAAATATGTAATTAAATTGAAGAATAATAAACAGCCGGATTTAAACATGAGATCAAGTTATATCACAAAATATAGTAGAACCGGATTCCAACTTAACACACCTGAAATTTTAGTATTCTCTTCATCCTTTATTATGGCTCCTCCTAAAATAAGACTTCGTGCATAAAAGTGGCCATATTTTTCTGAGATTTCGCAAAGTTTATCATTTTCGTTATCGTGGGATGTATTATTCATAACATTTTCAACATCTTCAAAAAAATTTTTTGTTGCAATAATATTTTTATCTAAATTTATTACTCCTCTTATTACCCGTTCATATAAATGTTTGGTGTATTTCATGTGTTGTTTAAGTGTCTGGCCTGAATTTTCATGCGATAATCCAATAGGAGCAGAAAGCCATTCTGAATAAGCAGCTAAAAACTTTGCATCAAATATAAGGGACCGCTTACATTCAGCGGTTATTTCATGTTTGCATTCATGTATACCTTCACGAAGAAGCCTTCTTTTCTCTATCCTAATTTTCTCAAAATTGATGTTGAATGCTTGAACAGATGCACTTGTTATAGAACTATCTTTATTAATCCTGAATCCTTTTTCAAACCTTAAATAGGTCAGATCGAATTCATCAACCTGAGTGATAAATAAATGATGATTGCCATCTATTTTTTCAATGATTTGTGAAAGACTTAAATTAGGTTCATCTTTTATACTAATCATTGCTTTTGCTTTTTTTTGAAAAAAATAGCAATTTGACCCCATATTAAAATCATCATTATCATTTTCATTCCTTAAAAGCATTTTGCGAACTTCAATAAGTTTAATTTTTTGAGGTAACAGTCTAAATAATCTTTTGACTCCTCTAATTTAATAATAATATCAATTATATCATTTTCTTCATCTACATTTTTGTCATCTTCATTTCGGCTGTTTTTATTTTTATTTTCATCTTCTGTGTCTAATAATATATATTCATTCAGTCAATTTGATTATAAATAAATTAAAATTATAATAATTAATTGACAGATAATACCTGATGTTAAATCTTTTTTCCTGATCGGTGATTCAGTGTAATAATTCATAAAATAAATTTATATATAATTAAAGAGTAATTTAGTGTCTTGACAAGGCAGTGCAGTATAACTCACGACCAAAATCGAATATCAAGATCAGGTGTAACGCCTTAAAATCATTTACAACACAAAATAATGCTTATAAATTTACCTTATGTATTCTAACAGAAAACTTTTAACAAATTTAGGTTATCGCTCTAACCTAAACTAATGTAATCTTGTGTACATAATCTCTATTAATTAAATGCGTACGCTATGATAATATGTTTTCACACCTGACCTTATGATTTGGTTGTGGACGCAACATTATACATTACATTAAATTTAAACTAAAATTTACATTTGATACCAATATTTGGCCTTGTTTTCATCCGTTTGAATCGTTATGATAAACTGGTGCCATTTGAATGGAATTTAATTTATGGCAAATTTTTTCTATTTTAGGACGAGAATTTGGAACACCATTCCAAGCATCGCAATAAAGTTTCATAAAATCAATTGGAGTTCCATTAATCGGTGCCTTTAATAACATTGTGTGCTATTTTTATTTGATTCCATATATTATTAAAAGGAGGAACACCACTTGATAATTCCCAGAAAAGCACACCGAGACTGTAGATATCAGAAGGCTTCTTTTGTTTATACGTGTCATCTTCGAGGAGGTATGCTGGGTCTGAAAAAGCCCACGTTCCACCAACAACTGAATTTGAGGTATTTTCTAATGATTTCGATAAGCCAAAATCTGTGATCATTAACCTGCCATCGTTAACCAATATATTCTTATCATGCTAACAGTATACAATTAATATTAATAATTATAGCATATTAATACGATAGGCATTTGCAGGAAATTTTGATACAGCATTTTATGATTTTACCGTATCCCCAAAAAATAATACCCCGCGATTAAGATCCGGGTATTAGTAATAATAATATCCTGATCCGTTGGGAATTAGCGGAGACGAAGTTTCCGCTAATTCACATGTGATCGGGGGATTATTCAAATATAGTACCCGGTTCCTCACACAATACCCACGGGTACTATTCAATTTTAAAAACCAATTTCTTGAATAAGTCCTGAGTACTGTATGCAGTGGCCAACGGTAATAATTTTGGGTCAACAAGCCCTCAATAACTTAATTTTTCACATTATCGTTAATTAGATGTTATTAACTTTGGTTCTTGAGCCGTTAAAATCATGGTGACCAAGAGGCACTTAAAGCCTGGGCAGACCGCTATATGTCCGCAAAATTGCCTATCGCTAGATATGAAAGGCGAAAGCACTTACAAGGTCACGATGAACTATATTTTCGTTATGTAAGCACTTCACCCCGTTAGACATATCCTTCGCCATTTTAAGTTTAGTTGACCAATTCAATTCTGAAAAAAGTCCTCGTAAATAGCTTCGAAGATCACCATTATTTGCGTATTGAAAAACCATAAAGTATGTTTCAATTTCAGTTGTCGCATCTAAGATTTGAAATCATTAGTTAAATATAATTATCGTAAATTATTATAATTATTAACATACTTTTAGTAATTCCAAGGAATTTTATTATATTAACATGATGATGGACTTTTGTAATTATTTTAACCTTAAATAAATAAATGCTCAGTACATTTAGATTATTTTAAATAAAATAACTGACAAGAAACATAATAAAATTGAATCTACTCCTCTAACAAATTCATTAAATGAATTTTCATCTATAAGGCCACAATTTAATTTCTTTAAAGCTATAGTTTGACCAAAATCTTCGGAATCAGCACTATACACTGTACCAAATCCTCCATGACCAATTGATTCCCTAATCTTAAAAGATTTATACTTGAATGATTTGATATATTCACGTTCGCTAGCAACTTTAAACCAATCTGACATAGTTTTTATGGTTTTTGCTTAATTATACGTATATCAACATTAAATTTTTAGAATAATGTTAGTGTGTAGCAAATTTGCACATAATTCAAAATCATTATATGATTATACGTAAGTACGTACGTACATGTAAAAATTTAGAATTTATTAGGACAAATGCTATTAAATGCACTTTTCTGCAGATCAACATTGTACACATGGTGCAGCATACATTAGGGTGTACAACGGATATTTCCACACCCCAATTTTTGTTATTTCTACTCTTTTTTAAAACTTTGATCAAAGATATCTCGACAACTACCTGATGAAATTCGATAAACTTTTTTTATCTGAATTCTGTGGGTCAATAGAAATCAAATAAAAACAAAAATAAAAAAATTCAACAAATTTCATCAGGTAGTTGTCAAGATATCTTCGATCGAAGTTATAGAAAATTTTGCCGCAACTTATGTTTTAATAGATGTTTAAAAATTTTTTAAAACTTTGCTCAAAGATATCTCGACAACTGCAGAATGAATTCGATGAACGTTTTTTATTCTAATTCTGTAGATTTATAGAAATTAAACAAAAAAAAGTTTATCGAATTTCATCAGGTAGTTGTCGAGATGTCTTCGATCATAGTTGTGAAAAATTTTGCCGCGGCCTATGTTTTGATGTTTAAAATTTTTTTAAAACTTTGATTGAGGATTCTCGACAACCACTAATGAAACCCAATGAACTTTTTTTTATTTGAATTCTATAAATCCATAGAGTTCAAAATAAAAGCTACATTGAATTTCATTAGGTAGTTGTCGAAATAACTTCGATCAAAGTTATGGAAAATTTTGCCGGGCTTATGTTTTGATAGACGTTTGAAATTTTTTTAAATTTTGATCGAAGACATCCCGACAACCTACTGTAGAAATTCTGTCGTGGGGTTAATGAATGTATAGTTATACACTCAATTCCGCTCAGTGGTTCGTTTAGTCTTGCACTCGCTTGTACACAGCTACGTTCCTTACTCA